CCAAGCTTTCAAAATCACAGGTTGGGCCCTGGTGAAATCATAGTACTGATTTAAAAATCATGAGAGCTTCATTATTTTCATTTGCCATTTGTATTTGCCTTTGGATTTTTGACTTGTCAAAAGGTTTTTCACCTTTGCAAGCTTTTCACCCCCCTCTGGAAAGTCCCCGCTTCAGTTTTTTTACGAGAGCTGTAATTCCCAGGAACTGGCACTTTAAGAGAAACACCAAATATCATAAGACTTATGATTAAACCATAAGGGGTAGTGTCTGGGACATGAGAATCTAACAGGCTGTTGGCCTGAATATGAGCCAGGGCAGTGCTAGGAATGCAAAGAAGCTGAAAGACCAGACCGTTTTCACCCCAGTGGCACTCCCACTTTAGGCTGGTGTAAGACCAGTGACTGCCCTGGTGTACAGCTGGAGGAACACTGTGGGGAATCAGAGCCAAGAGCTCTAAAAGCCAAACAGCAGCACCCCCACCCCTACATGCACACACTTAGATCCCAAAAGCCTTGCTTACTCTTGGCTCTGGGTGGGGAGGCAGGACACTAATTTGGTATTTTGTGGAGTGGCAAGGACAGTGCAACCGAGCTCTCACTGGATCTGGTCCTGCTCAGAGCCAAAGAGCTGGACTCCCACCAGGGAATGTGGGGAGAGGTTTAAGGCCAGGAGCAGGGAGGGGAAGTGGCCATTGCTCTGCTGAGGAAGGGGTCAGGAGTGTCACCTGACAGGCAAGAGTGAAGATTTGTGCCTTGCAAGTAGGTCTTCTCCCTGCTGCTTGGACACTTCTCCTGGGTCAGAGGAGGGGAGCTCCTGCAAGCCAGGCCCTCTCTGGTTACAGCCAAACCGATGGTGAAAAGCCCAGCACTTCTTTGAGAACAAGCCTTGCACCACAGGGGATCAGTGCCAAGAACTGTGTGAGACCAGGGGCCATGACCACGAGAGGGTGGTGACCAGAGAAACTAAACTTAGCACAGATGGAAAATCCCCCTTGTGATGAGAGCCAGTTGCTGTAGGAGAGTCCTCCTGGGGACGTGCTGGGCACCCTGTTGTTTGAGAGACCAAAGAACAACAGGAAATGGCTGTTTTCTGACCAGGAGCAGAACACACCACCCCATGGAGGATTTTCCATCCTCACTTCCCTGGGTCCACTCTGTGCAGCAGGTCAGGTCTGTGGGGGTCCCAAATATTTTTTTCAGCTGCTCTTGGGCAATGCAGATCCTTTGAGCAGCAAGCTGGGGGGAGGGGTGCACTCTTCCCCCACAGATAGGGACTACTGCAAGCCATCTCCTGATTCTTCTCTGCTCTCTTGTGCTCTGTGTGTGTGTGTGTGCGCGCATATGCACACATGCATGCATACACACAAATGCATGCATGCACTGCAGACTTGGCATTCTATACAGACCAATTCCAGCAGCTGCACAGCTACAGATGAGGTCAGAAAGGCATGCCCCTCCCATGCTGGGGCTGAATTTGGGGACCACACCATGCTGAACTGAGGCAGATTATACTCATTTCACTTGCTGAAATGACTGGCATGCCATGTCACTGGTCCTGTCTAGGGTTACTGCTGTGTTTGCTCAAGAGATACCTGTGGGAGTTGCCTTCTTTTTGAGATAGTTTGTAGTCAGAGAAAAAAGGTGCAAATCCAGTTCCGTTTCTCTAGAGCTGCTCAGAGACACCCGGGGATTATTGGTAGCAAACACTTGCCACTGATGTTAACTATAAGGGAGTTTGAACACAAGAGCCCAGTGACCTGTTACGTAGGTAGGTCAGTGAGCACATACATACATACCACCCTGTTGTAACTCATGTTGTAAACCAAAGGTCCAGTCCTCCCTTTCCTACCCTGCAACTTCTGTGAGCATATATCCCTGCACAGAGTTGATATAAAACAATCCCAGAGCAGAGCAGGGGCAGCTAACACCCATGTTGGAAAGCCACTGTGCTGGGGATCGTAGCAGGGACATTCAGACTGAAAGGATAGGCTGTGACAGCTTGAAGAGAAACTCTGTACCAAGGACCAGAACAGACTGAAGCCTGCTGTGGATCAGCACAGAGAGAGCCTGAGGCACTCCCTGCATCCCCTCATCCTTGCACTTCAGAGGATCAAAACATGCATGTGGACACAGCACCCAGCCCCACCTTATCTCCAGGCCACTGCTTTGGTCATTCCATTAACATGCCCCAAGGATAAAGGACATCTGTGCCAGATCCCATGGTGGGGAGGAGAGAGGCCAGAGTGGGGGAAGAAAAGGAGAAAGACAAGAGACCCACTGTGGAGAAAGAACAGCTGAAGGGTGTTGGCACCCAGCAAAGCCACTGGAACAGGAGAGCTCCAGGCAGTTTGATGATGACTTCAACAGCCCTTTCTGGCCCCATCCTTTGGGCATCGTCCCAGCAGTGCATGACACTTACAGCCCATCACTCTGCCACAGGGTAGCATTGTATCCCCCATCAGAGAGAGATGGAAAGATGGTGAAAAGAAACCTAGCCAGAGGCCTGGGTGTGACACATAGAAGACAACTGAGCTCATTGGCATGGGAGAAGAGTCTGAGGGGAAGCAAGGATGTCTCATTTCTGGACCAATTAAAGTGGTTCCAGACAGGAGCAGAGAGCAACCCTGGCCTGGGAGGGATGGGCTAGCCCCACGCTGTCACTTCTCCCCACTGAAACAAGGGCCATCTAGGGGCAGCTGTCACCAGTCATGGACTTCTGTGGGGCTCTGGCAGATGGCACTAGATGCAGACAGACTCTTGGATATTTAAGAGGGGGAAAAACAATGAAGAAGCGTTTTCCTTCTTAGTGTGCATCCCTGATGTGTTCAGCATCCACTATAAGTGGGGAAGAATGGGATCCCAGAGATGATGAGACCTGGAGCTAGGGCTAGAAAAGCAAATGTGAAAAACCCACACAAGTGCTTTAGTATGTCCCCTTGCTGCAAATGGGTGCAGCTCAGGGGACAGGCCAGTCTGCAGCTGCCAGCTACAACCCTTTCTCCTGAGGAGCATCTTGCACTGGCCACTGATGGGAGCAGGCGACTGGTCCCAGTCTGGCCCCTGCCTTCCTACGAGGGACAACAGCACTTTATGTCAGGAAAATGAACATGACATTCTTATTGCTGTGCCTGCCTCTTACCAGGCACAGAAAGAAAAATCCTCTCAAGATGGAGTCTGTTAGTCTTGTCAGTGAATGGGAATGAACATGACACATTCATTTGGATTTCACTTTCTATTTTGAGATACTAATAGCTGGTTTACAGCACAGTCCCTCCTAAAAGGGAATGAAACAGAAAGACCTATTCTTCCCCTCCCTGGGCACTGATTGTGCCTAAGACATTTCCAAGCCTGGGGGGTGAGCACTGAAAGCCAGATTTTCAAAGCAGCTCAAGACCCACACACAGGCTCCCAGATAGGCCCAGGGTAACATTTTCCAGAGGGCTCAAGCACCCAGAAGCTTCTGCTGAGAGCCAACCGGGCACTTTTCTGCTGCCAACATGGGGGCCAAATTGTTGCAGGAAGCCAGCCTTCCTCCCCTGGTCCATTCTCAGAAGTGCACACTGCTGCCTCTCCCCTCCTCCCCTGCTCATTTACTGGTTTGGACCAAAGTAGCAAAGCAGACATAGCAGGGCTCTGACCTGTCACAGGTCCTGTAGAGCTGAGAACACATTGTCTTGCAAGAGCCCAAAGACACCTGAAGAGAGAGCTGTGATCTCTAAATATGCTGACTCAAATTCCCTCTTCCCCTCCAATTGCAGAGCAGAGGCTGTGCAGAAATCACGCCCCAGTCTGCCTCACTGTGGTAAGCAGACAGCCCAAAGCCCGCTGTGTTACCTGCCTGCACAACTAGCTGGGCTGTAAAACTTCCACCGGGAGGGGGGACCTGTAAGGGCGGGAACCTCCTCTTGTCTCAGGTTCCTGCCCTTGCAGGTCGTGTGATTAGTTAGCTCACCTGGCCAGCCTGATGTCATTTGGAAGCACTGGTCAGCAGCCAGTGGGTCCATGTCTGGTGGGAACTTAGTGATGAGGTCACAACAGGTGCATAAAAGCCTCTCCATGAGGAAGGGAACACAGACATGCTTTGGAACATGGCAGACATCTTTGGGAACAAGCAAATGGCCTCTGGAGCTCTTTTAGACTCTAGATGAACATGTGAATAACCTACCTGAAATGTAGCCAGTAACTTAGGATCAAATGTTCTAAAAGTGTATTAAAAGGCTATCAAGCCACTTCGGTTTGCTCAGGGTATTCTTTTGATATTACTCTGACTTGTACCCCTCCCCATGCCTATCCTCTCTACCCAATAAAGTCATCCATTATAGCAAGCCTTGTTGTATATGCATGAGGGGGATTGGGTAGGCCTTTTTGTTCCCTTTGCTTGGCAGACTAAGGGAGGCTACTTTCTATGCTTCTGGCTATAAGAAGCACCCAGATATATCCCACTGGCGCTCAGCAACCCCTAGGTCTGCAGGGCCTGTGTACTCCAAGCAGCACAGGGCCCAACAGACACCGGAGCTCGGGTGGTGGCACCAGTTACCCCAGGTTGGTGGGTGTGCTCCAGGAAGACGGTTGGCCAGAAGTTGGCACCCCTGGGGAGGCATCTGCAGCTTGGTTTTGGTCAGGTACAGTGAGCTGGGTGGGTCAGTGCAGGAGCACCCCCTACTGGCATGCCACAGAGGCCCTCTCACATCACTGTAAGCCCAGAGTCCCAGCAGACAGATCAGTAGCATCACTCCAGATTTACCATCCTAAAACTAAGAGCCAAATCTGGCCTCAAGGAAGCTATGAGCCAACTGTCCAGCTGCAGTGAGTCAGAGCAGCTGCTTTGAAGTCAAGGGAGACAATCCCCAGCTGGTGATGGGTCTCAACACAGCTGTCTTGCAACTGCAGCTGATCTAGCCTCCTGAACTCAGTGAGTTTGTGGGGTCTCTCTGGTCACATAAACATTGCACCCTGCAGAACAGAGGGGAGCAGGGCAGCACCCTCTGGGAATTAGCACGATGGCAAGAAGAGGTGTATCAGGGCAGCTCTGTGGCAGCTATGGAGCTCCTGGGGCAGTGCAGGCTACTGTGGTATGAATAGTAGCAGCTTAATCAGCTGCCATTGTGGTCACAGCTATTTTTGTGCACCCTTCTCCCCCAGCAAAGGTGGCCCCTGAGGCTACTGCCCTAGTCACCCCCAGTTACGCTACAAATTGTGAGCAAAGCTTTGCAAAACAATAGGAGCACCACAGACAAGTGTTAGATTCACTACAGCTTTATTGCACTTGGCCAGATCTAGGATTTTGAAGAGGGAATTGCAGGTGGTGTGGTGCATCAGCACATAACCCAACACATTTTTTTCCTAGTTAAAAAAACAAACTAGAAGCTTTGCTAACATGCCAGGGGCCTAGGACTGTATTATTCAGCTTAAGATTGAAGCAAAAAGAAACGTAACTTTATTGGAACATGCATTAATTTGGTGCATTATATATTCAGTATAATAAACTGAGCAAAAATAACCAAAAGGTTTTGTTTCATTAATCCTGTAGTCATTAGAATTATATGTGCCTTTCTTATTCAGATTCATTAAAAAAATCTAACCTTCATAAGCATCTTGACAGTGCACCCCGTATTTCACTGACAGTTATTTCCACACTTGAGTTAATATTACCACACCTGAGTTAATGTTTTTAGCTAGAGCTAAAACAATCTGAAGGGCTGTGAAATAGGAGAACCTAACAGACAGCAACATTTCAGAAGAAAGGATAGCTTGATTAGAAGAATGTCAGGGCCATTAAAAAGGAGAGAGAGGGTTGTTAACACCTGTGGAGTGTAGCGACCTTAGCAGGAATCAGGTAGGTTATAATGAGCTATGAAATTAATTGACTCTCTCAGCACTGTGAATAGAAATACCACTGTTGCTGGCACTGGGCAGTTGGTTTATACTTTGGGTGGAGCAGGAATCAAAGAGGGGGTGCATCCACATCATTCCCCTTCCCCCCCCCCATCCAATCTACTCCTGCACTGTAACTCCGTCAAAAACAATGATCATGTGTGAATGTGAAACCAGAGGAGCGCAGCGATGAATTAGACATATGTATGCAGTGTTACGTATTCAAAACAGGAAAGGAACATGGTAAAAGTTGCTTAGTCAAGCACTCAGAAGCAGAGCTGACCTGAGCAGGGTCTGGGCCCCAGGGCAAATCAGCCCATGCGGGGCCCTGCCCCCACTCCGATCCCACAGGCCCCGGATCCAAAGAAGCTGCCACCGCAGGGCAGGAGGGGGCGGCGAGTGGCTGGATGTAGAACCGCCTCTCCACCCAGCTCCATGCCTCCGCTGCTGTCCCCCAGTCCACAGGGCCCCCCAAATCACAGGGCCTGGGGCGGTTGCCCCGATTCACCCCCTACAGGGACGGCCCTGCTCAGAAGTACCAGAATTTATTCCCTGCTCATGCATTGTGACACAGTCTGTAATTACCTGACTGGTCCTAGGCTTTTTGCCCAGCCAGAGAAATAGCAAGAGGCATGTCCCTGACAGAGGTCACTCTGCTAACAAAGACAAAATGCCTGTTCCAGAGCATGGGGTGGAGGCGCTAGAGTGAAGACAAGTGGCCAGAACCCAAAGAAAGCATGGTGCCTGCACTTGTTCCCAGAAAAATCTGGGAAGTTTTGGCTAACATTTTTTCCCCAGAAACAACCAGTTTCCCAGGTGCAATGTGGCTGGCCAACAAGCATGAGGGTATAACAGCTCTCTCTCCTTTCAGGACCCTCCATTGTGACTCCCCCCAAGGATATCTGGAATGTCACTGGAGCACAGATTTACCTGAGCTGTGAAGTCCTGGGAATCCCAACCCCGGTGCTCATCTGGAATAAGGTAGCTTGCTTGGGGAGCACAGTTAATGCCATGGTGACATATTCTAGACACCTTGGGGCAGAGAGGCAAGGAACAGAGAGAGACAGTCAGTAATACAGGAAGGAGTTTCATAAGCTCCTGGAGTGAGGAGGCCTGGCCTGAAGGCTGAGAAACATACCTGCTGTGTTACCAAAGCCAGTTCCCTTTGGGCCCTCCAGCAGTCCATGTGCAGAGATAAGGCATTCAGGGGCAGGTTGTGAAACAGCAGTTTGCAAGAGAAGATCTTGCAGCAAACATTGCCTCTGATAAGCATGCCTTGGAGGAGTGCATTCTACCAGTGCAAACACAAGTTGAAAAAAATCTCTTTTTCTCCCTCTCCCGCCCCCAAAACATCTGGCTTTGTTTAATTTTTCCTGCATAAATAATTTTTCTAAAGCTGATTTCCCCCCAGCGTTTTTTACATTGTTTATTCTGATAAAAGAACCGCCGTTAGGCTGCTTACAGCGTGACAGGCTGGTATTCAGAGCCTCCAAAGAATGTTCCTTGGTTATTTGTTTCAACCTCTGGTCTGCAAGTAGCTTCGGAAACACTGGACATGACCACACAGGTCACAGTTGTGGTAGTCATGTACTGTTCTGTTTTGTCTTAGTAGTTTGGAGGTGGACGTTAGTGCTGCTTCAGAGCTGTGCAGTTAAAGAGTGTTGAAGTCCTGGGCTTTTTTTTTTTTTTTTTTGTTTGGCTCTTAGGCTCATAAGAAAAGCACCTTCAGCTGCAGAGCCTTCATGAGAACTCAGCCCTGGTACCTGTGAGGAGCCTGGTACCTTAGCAGGGAGATGCTGTTCTCTTTGACAGTGCTGGGATCATCGTCAGCCTTTGGGTGGATGTTCATTTTAGTGCCACTGTCTGTACCTCATCAAGGCTTCCCAAAGTTTCTCAAGCCCAAGGTTATGTGGAGGTCTCTGAGGGTTTGCCCTCCTTTATGCAAATTCAAAACAGGCCTAAGAAAACAGGTAGCTTACTATAGCAATCTCTCTAAGACAAGCAGCTGGGGATGTTTTCCCATAACATACAAAGCCCTGGTGTTCCTCAGATGACTAAGCCTGTGGGTGTTTTATTGGGCAGATCTCCCATGGAACTTGAAAGCCCCAGTGTCACCAACTGCAGTCTGGCATGGAGAAGTGACACTGACTGCTTCCCAAAAGGCAACTGAGTCCCATTCCATCCCCTGCATCTACCAGTACACCCAGACAATTCCCAGAGTCCAGCTTGGGAGCAACATGCAGGAAGGACAGAATCAAGCCTCAGTTTTCAGTAAACAAAATAATCATGATGGTCATAACATTTATCAGTGTAACCCCAGAGTACTGCAGGAAACACCAGCTGTGCAGCTGCTTAACGCCAGTCACCAGTAGCTTAACAGGGCATCTGACTAACAAGGCAGATCTTCAGTCATCTTCCCCTCTCAGGGCTGGAAGAGCACAGACCACGTTTACTAACAAAAGCCCTTGGATTTTTGGTCCCCAATGCAGTTTGCAGCTTTTTGTAAGACCCCTGCTAGGCATGTAGGTAAAGGCGTGCTAAAACCTGATGCACAATTTACACTTCCTGCTATGCTACATGTGTCTGGCAGAAGGCCTGATTGGGGGATCGAGCATCAGAGCCCATCATGCCTTATTGCTGGTGCAGGAGGAGTCCAGGGTCATGATCGCGGGCCCCCCCCCCACACTGGCAAGTAGCAAACTCCCATAGCTGGGAGTCCCCTCAGCTGATGGGGCTCCCAGCTCTGGGGGTGCAGCATGTGCTTCCATGGCTGGGAGCCCCATCAATTGAGCTGGGCTCCCAGCTGCAGGAGCACATAGAGTATCCCAGCAGCTAAAAGCCCAAATTGATTGGCAGCACCCAGCCAAGGGCTGCACCTGGCCACACATTCAGTTAATGGCATGATAGGAATGGCTACAGAATTATTACCTTTTTTTGTAGAATAACTTTCTGGCTTATTCCTTGTTTTACAACTCCATTAATTGCTTCAGTGTGTGGCCGGGCTGTGCCAGTGCCTGGAAAAATGCCACATTAGTCTTTGTCAAGGAAGCCTTTTCCTTGCCCATTCAGACACCACTTTTTTGAATGCAGCAGAAGCCCAAGCAGCTGGGTTTTACTCTCCTGCTCCTTGCCCTCCCCCATACAGCCCTCTTGTTGGGAATGTCGCCAGGCCTGGGCCTTGCTCTTGGAACAGCTTGTGCACTGCAAGTCTTCTGCTGCTTCAGAGGCAGGCAGTTACATTTCCCAGAGGGCTCAGTACCTAGGGCAGCTCCCATGGAGAACTGTCTGTCCCCACTTCCCCGTAAACCACCAATGAGGGCAGTGGGAGCTGTCCTGAATAGAAAAACCTGGTCACTCTTGCTTTTGGAACAGGAAACACTACTGCACCCTGAGTAGCAACAGCTGTGGGAGCCCTGGGGAGCCCTTTCCCCTTTGCCCCTATACGAGCCTGGCACTGCCTCAAGCCGTCAGAGTAGGATTCTTTTTCAAAGTGCTCAGCAGTGAACTGAGTCTTCTCAGGAGTTTTTACCTCGGGGGGGAAAAGGCTGGAATCACTGTTGAATGCCATGGGAAATCTCACCCTTAGCCAGGTCCACTCAGGAAAGTTGTACTGCTCTATCCCTTCCAGGAAAAAGAAATCAGCACCTCTCCTCAGTATGGAGGCAGTTTTATCAGGGTAAAGGTGCTCAACAAGGGGCAGCTAGTCTGGAAGGGGAAAGAGGATACCCTGTACTTATATAATCGGTAGAACCATGTCCAGACTGTAGACAAGGCAGTGGTAGAACTTGCATGGGTAGATTAAATCTTTATGACTACAGTCCTAAAAACAACCCTCTGACCAAGCTGTTATCATTGTCTTCTGCTGCCCCAGATAATACGGGGACAATATGGTGTCCAGCGGATGGAGCTCCTGCCTGGGGACCGTGAGAACTTGGCTATCCAGACCCGTGGTGGGCCTGAAAAGCATGAAGTGACCGGCTGGGTGCTGGTGAGTACTTGTGCAGAGATAACCATACACTTCTGGCAACACGCAGGCAAGGCTTGAGAAATAAGACTTAGAAATCAAAATGGAGTCAACTCAGTAGTTTTCCTGAAGTTGGAAAAAAGTGAGCCCTGTGAATTTGAAGTGAAAGCAGTTAAAGTCCTGCATTTTACAAGATTAAATGCCTGTGTCAAGGCCCAGTCCTCAGCTGCTATGTGTTTCCTGCAGTTGTATATACCTGCACAAAGTCTATGGAAGAAGAATGCAGAGGATAACCAGGTGCATACAAGGCTTAAGCTGTGAGAAACCCACACTTACATGAGAGACAATTCCTCCTGTCTCATCCAAAGAATACTGCAGTCAGCAGGTAGAGCCCAGTCCAGCTGGTATCTCAGTAGGAGCTTGTCAGCCATGGGGACAAGGTGTCCTTAGAAGACAAGAGGACACACAGGAAAGGATCTTTTGAAATCAGGACCATGCTGTCCTACCTTATGAGGAGGCTATTGTGAAGGTGTTAGAAGTAGCTAGGCCTCAAAAGCAGCATTTCCACTTTGCATCTCTCCTGTTGGTTCATTCTCCCCAGCCAGACCAGCATACAGCTCTTAAGAACATGCCTCCTAGAACTGAGCCCTACATGACCAGGAGAGATGCTCTCCACAAAGAACTTGGAATTGCTAGTGAAAGTTAACTTTGGAGGAAGGGACCAGAGACCTTTATCTCCGATTAGTTCCGTGTCCCCCAGCTCAAACTCAGGACTTAAATAGAATCAGAAGAAAGAGGGCTGGCAGGGACCACAGGAAGTCCTCCAGTCCAACCTCTCACTGAAGGCAGGAACATCCCATGCAACCATGCAAGATGTCCATCCTGGGCGTTGCAGAGGGTCCCCACTCTTTCTCTGGTGTGCACCTTCAAGAAATGTAATCTTTCAAGAACCATCCCCAAACATTTAGTCATTAAGATTTAAAGAAATCTTTGCCCTTTTGAGACAATAAGTTTCTTAAGTGGGAGTACACAAAAAATTTTATTTATCTGTGGAGACTAGAAGAAAGCAGCAGGGAGATCAGAGGAGAGGAGGTTACAATGTATCAGACAAAAGAAGATCTGTTTTGATTTTCAAGTAGATGATCTTTGGCAGTAACAGACCACACCAAGTGATTGCTTCGAGCCGCAGAATGAGGTGTGGACTTGGGAATGCAGCTCAAGGGCACTGCATGCCAAAACAGATAGAGGCTTTGGAGAGGTGCCAGCAGACTGACAATACACTTTTATGGAAAGGAGCATTTGAACAAATGTGCTTTCTGCCTCCCTCAATAATGGAAGGTTTTAACACATTCCAAAACCAGGCAAATACTGATGTCTGGCTAGCCAGGATAAAGCAACTTCTTACTGACATGTTGTAAAAGCCGTAATGGAGGCAGGATGAGGCCAGGACTAGATTGGATGCACTCCAAGACAGGTGCTAAACAGCATCCTGTCAGTGCACAGGGTGCTTGGATCCAAGCTGAGTTAAGACAACCTACTGCTCACTTAAATCCAGCCAGCTTTGGCTCAGCTGGGATAAATCAGTGTTGTTTGTGCTGCTTGCTAATAGCAAATGTGTTATGTTAAAAGCCATCGTTATGCAGAATTTAAAACTGTACCACTGCAAGCATGAGCTTTTTTCCATACTGTTGAATATTCTTGGTATGTGCTTCTTGATTGGTAGAGGTCAATTATCACTCAAGTATTCATAATACCATTCCCATTAGGTCTGCTTAACATATAGTTTAATGCTATTACACAGGCCAACAGTGATGCAAGTTAACATGAAAAGTCCAAGCTAAACAAAGAATGTGTTCTGATTGTTTTGACAGATATCTCCTTTGAGTAAAGATGATGCTGGGGAATATGAGTGTCATGCATCAAACTCAAAGGGAGAAGCTACAGCCTCTGCAAAAATCACTGTTGTTGATGCCCTACATGAAATACCTATAACGAAAGGTGGGTGTTGTTTAAAGGTGCAGAATTTTTTTTGTTCTCATTGGGTGTTTATACACACTTTTTTGTCCTGCAATATGCTGGAAATCTGCCACTTCGGAGCAAACTCAGGTTTGCTCTGCACATGAGCCGGTGCACATCGCACTGCGTTGCATGCAGTTGTATAAGTGGCAAAATGCATGCCAGCGTGTAGAAAATGGCAGTGGTGCACTTTTGAACTAAAACAACTTCTGTGTGTTTTAGTTCAAAAGTGCAGCACCACTTTCTCAGCGCTAACATGCATTTCACCCAAAGGGGCGGAGCATTTTCCAAGTGGGTTTAGTCCCTTCACAAAGTAAAAAGACATTGAAAAGCCTGCATTTATGTTTTCTGCAGGAGTTTAGTATTAGAAATAGCAGGAACATCAAATCCAGCCTTACTTGGTTTCCATATAGGACTTTTTGCAGATCTTAATTGTTTAAGCTCTCATAATAGAGGCTGCAGTGGAGTTGAATCTTTAAGATAAGCGGGGGGAGGAGAGGGGAAGGAGTACATTAGGTACTGGAAAGTAAGATTTAGAACATAACTAAAAGTACATTCCCTCCCCCAATAGCTTAAGTTTGGGCTTTTTCTAACATTCCAGTGGTTCTCCAGTTAGCATGCTGAATCAGAGAAGACCTACAGTTTGGGGTTTTTTTCCTTTAGAATTGTATGAGAGGGCTTCAAAAAATGCTTTCAAAAACTGCACAATGCTGTTTTACCAATAGATTTAATCCCAATAGCCTTGCTCCTCCTCTTTGCCAGGCCTTATCACTGTTGCACACACCAGTTATTTCACTGAGTTTCTGAATCTCAGTTCACTCAAATGAAGTGGCCCTGAGCAGCCGGAAGATTTTTTTTTTTTTTTTTTTAAAACACGAGAGAGAGAAGTTCCCAGCAGTGGAACAAGAGAATAAAACAAATCCCAGTGCCAATTATGTATTGAAGAGGTTCAAGTCAAATATTAACATAACTTACATACTTTGGCTAAACCAACTGGTTTTTAGCCACAGTGTGTGTGTGTCCCCTGTTGTGAATGTTAAACACATGCTAAGAGCACGTGCACTCAATTTTTCACTCTTGAAGTACAGAATTGCAAACACTCATGCAGGTCAAGGATGTGATAAGCATTTACTACTTTTTGAGGGGAATGCTACTGCTAGATTATGGCATGGAACAGCCTTGATAATATGGCCTCAAAGCAGGCACTGGGTATTTTAATTTCTCCTCACATAATATGCCAAAAATACTGCAACTCCTTACCTTGTAAGTAGGAAAAACTTAAAACGGGAGCAAAAAATATTTCATTATGTTAGCAATAAGCTATGAGCTGACAACATCTACAAATACTGGAAAGGAAGGAAATAAGGGCTATTGATTTTGACAGGGTATCTGATAGTTCATGACCAATAACACCCAAGTAGTCTAAATGCCCAAATACTTAGTCATTGGGAAATATTCTAATAATCTCAACAGTGAGTTACTTCCCCATTTAAGTCTATCAGTCCAATATCAATAGTAGTGCCTTTTCTATCTGCAATGTTATTCTCTTGTAATTATGACACAGCATAACTGTTGTTTCTCTTTTTGCAGCTGATGGTGCAGAGCTGTGACAGAGAACTGTATCATTGATGCACAGTTTAAGTTAGCATTTTGGAAAGCTGCAGTCACTAGGCTTTTCCAGCCCAATAATCAGTTCCCTGTCCCCATTCATTCAGCCTTCTAATATTGTTTTGCTTTCACACTTTATGCAAACATACAAATAAACAGGATTCACAATGGACTACAAATCTTTTTATTTCTATTTTCAAAAAGTAAAGCTCAACTTCATTAAACAAGGCATTAGGAAATACAAACCAGGCTCTCACACAAAACATACACCATTTTAAAACATTTTGGATGCTGAATGGCAAGTACACTAGAACCACAGCTTCCACGTATGCCGTGTCAATTAAAACAAAACCTTTTGAAGGCTAAACACTCATCATACGAGGTGCAATACTCATTGACATTAGCTCTTGGAAGAGGAGTTTACAGGCATATGGCATTCGCACCAACGAAATCTGGAAAGAAAATAAATAAGTTTACTATACAGTAGTCAAGTGAAGACCAACCAACTGGGTAAATCATGATGTAGCAGGAACAATTTACAAATTATTGGTCCAGTGCTTCATACAAAGTTAAATTTGACCAATCTTCAGTGACAAATCTGAAACCTCAACTCTTGAAACTCCACAGCAAGAAGTGAAAACACTCCTTTAAGTGTCTACAGAGTTCAGACTAATACAGGAACAGTGTTTGTAATTTATTTTTCAAGAGGTTAAAATCTATAGAGTAAGAAATCTCCTATCTTACATTCTTAAGATAGTTTAATTTGGTATATTGCTGAAAATTAAGCTCTGTTTAACAGCTGCAAGAACAAACAGGCGAGGTAAACAACTGTCTAAAATTTATGCTTAAGTACAAGATTTCATATTTAAAATTCAAAGCTTGTGATTATTTTTTAAGAACCACCGTGTTATAAAACTTAATTGTCTCCATAAACATTTAACAAGAAGGAAATATGAGCATACACAAATGTTGCCTTATCAACTGCATTAAAATGTAGTTAAGATTTTCTGCACGCAACTCATTAGTAGCAACAAAAGCAATAGCTTGCACTTCAGAAGTCAGCAGTATATACAAAAATAACTGCCTTCAATAATTTTACTCATCTGTTCCATCACTCCATTAAGAAAATAGTTCTAAATAATAACAAAGCACATTAATTTAGATTTACAAGAGCAGTATGCAAGTAACTCCAACCAGAAATTAGCACCTTAAATATGACATTTATGTAAGTTATTTCCTCATAACCCAAACTTAATAGGCTGCTCTGAATGGATATAGCAGAGTGGCCAACCAATGGAATTGATGTTCTTCCTGAGTTTTACTGCATCAGTTATTTTTCTCCAAGAAGCTGAGATTTAGTTCTCTTTTAGTTAAGTTATATGGAAACAACAACACCCGTCCAGCGCAACATTGGCTGGAAATTTCATTTAAGGATTTTATAAACAGTCAGAACTCCCTAGGACAGAGGGAAGCATCCAAATCAACTGAAACTCGTGGACTGCCCCATCATTATTTAAACAAGCCTGTATTTATTGCACGTTTAACCGTTACTCTGTCTTCTACCCCACCAATCATCGTATTTTTTTTAAACATTTGCTTAACTGCTAGCAATCTTAGCAGATGAAATCCATACATACCTGTGTTTTATTACGACATCCCCTGCACTCATAGGTGTGCGTCCTGGTGTTGGCTATTGCCATTATTCCACAGAGATTGCAAACATGAACTTGGTATGGGTCTGAAGCTTCAAACAACCTCTCTCTCAAAAACTGAGCTGCTCCATGAGCAATCTGACAATCACGCTCCATTTCTCCAAAACGAAGGCCACCATCACTGTGGGGGAAGTGATAGGATATTTTGCCATGAAGTTAAAAAGCAGAACTTCCAGTTCTAAGTACAGCAACCATTCAGTAGATAAACATCTACAGTGTAATAGGCAGGGGGTGGGGGGAAATGTATTCAGAATGCTAGGCATATATCACCTTCTCTCCAAGACTACTGGGGGGACATCAAGAGGCATTTATAAACTGCTGAAGCCCCCAGCCACACGGCTAAAAAAAGACTTCTTAAACAGATGTCAGCAGTGCTCAGGCAATCAGCCACCAAAGCATAACTCCACATTGATATTCTGTTACAAATGACTTAAGTCATGCCATACTTGTCCAAACTCAAGTACACCAAAATCTGATTTACACAGACAGCTATTCAATAAGCCAATTAAGTCATAGGTGCACAGCTGACGCAGCCAATTTCCTCCCATCTGAGCAACACAGGCATGTGACTTCGTGGAAGCTAATCAAATCAAAAGCCGATAAATATTCTTACCGTGATCTACCTTCCATGGGCTGTCTGTTAAGAATCTGAATTGGCCCTCTGGCACGAGAATGGATTTTATCATCTACCATATGTTTCAGCCGCTGGTAGTAAGTAGGACCAATGAAGATTTGTGATGTGATTTTGCGACCAGTGAACCCATTATAAAGAACCTGAAAGTAAGCATAAGCATTACTACTGAAGCATATGTTTAACTATACATACTAAGAAAGAAATTTATCAAAAGGAATGAAAGATGCAGAATTGGCATTTTGAGCATTATACCTCATTTCCTCTCAGATGATAGCCATAATCTGATAACAAATTGGAAATCTTCTGCACATTGACAGCATCATTGAAAGGTGTAGCATCACCAATTTCTCCCTTGTTTGCCGATACCTATGGGAGGAAAAAACAGGAAACTTTACAGAGATCTTTGCTTGCAAAACACATTATGTGCACCTAAAGTGATCAAACTGGACACAAAACTACTTGAAAAGGCAAACTTTTCACTGTTTAAATACAAGGACTCAATGCTCAGAACAGTATACATAACTTTAAAGTTAAGTTAGATGTTTATATAAAAACAAAGAAAGGTTTCCAGATACAGTTTAAAATACTCCCATTAACCTAACTGCTACCCATTTTTGTTTCATGGGTAAAGGAACATCTATAGGACTTCTTAGGGTTAGTTATACTTGTAAAGTGGTTCTGTAAATAAAAGCCACAAAGAACTACTATGAAAAAGCACACTATTTTCACCCACTGAACTTGCTACCAGGGGTGTTCCCTGAAGACATTACTATATTTTTGGTTTACTACTGGCTCGTTAACTGGGAACTCAACCAGCATCCTTTGATGCGTTAACAAACAACAAGGACTACAAGCTTTTCCAAGAGATAAAGGAAATTTAGTTGAGGTTCCTCATATTTTACTTCATGAAGCAAATCATTCTCCTTACCTTCCCTTGAAGGCATTCGATCAAGTGACCAATTGTCATACGAGAAGGAATGGCATGGGGGTTGATGATGATGTCAGGTGTGATACCTTCACACGTGAAAGGCATATCCTAAAGTAGAAGAGAATGGTACTCAGTACCCCTAGTTTTTCAACAAATGCTGTTCAGACTGAGTATATCTAAGATGCGTATTTAAGAAATGCATACAGATTGAAGGAGCATGTGTTTGGAAGTACGTAAAATTCAAACTAAATTTTAAAGCTTTATGTTAAGGATAAGTAACCACAAGCAATTCACTCTTGCAAGGAGGGTCCAGCGTAAAATCAAAAATACAAGTACAGGAGTGGAAAAAAAAAGTCAGTACCTCTTGTCTATACTGGATACCACAGGTTCCTTTCTGACCATGTCTACTAGCAAATTTATCACCAATTTGCGGGATTCTAACAGAACGCACCTAGAGGTGATGAAAGACAGCAGTTCAATAACAAAAGACCCACAAGGAAAAAAAAGTGTTAGCCAGAAGACATGCAGACCTGCACTTACCCTAATTTTGCAAAACTTGTATCCTTCCTGATTGAGTGTAACCATGACCTGATCTACAATACCAGTCTCACTAGTTCGTAGAAAAGTGCTACAGTCTCTTTTTGTGAAACGTCTGTTAGTGCTTTCCAGTTCATCTTCATTCTCTGGCAGAGTTACTGTTTTGCCTATGATGACATCATCTCCTGACACACGTACACCAGGTGCTATCAAACCATCATCATCTAATTTGTCATAGATGGCATGCCTCATACCTGAAGAAAGACAACTAAATTCAGATTGCAGCACCCTTCAAAACAGTTCCACACAAGAGTAAGTATTGTGTTCTCAGACTAGCAGACTTCACATTTGTATTTTGTCCCAGCCTCTAGTGTTGTGAACTCATACCATGTTATCAACTGTAGACTTCAATATAGATGCTCTGGAAGTACTCAAAACATACTAGTTGATAAAAAACCTGCTGAGAAATTTCATCCATTTTATTCTTTTTGGTGCAATAAAGGGTTAAATAATGTTAACAAACAGCTCTACCTAGTGAAGTCCGAGTACTAATCACAGCCTTTTCTATCTGTCAGCATGTCTTACCCTGGCAAGTTTCACGTGTAGGTTTTTCAAAAACTTCTTCTTGGTCAAAGCCTTTCTTGGACTCTTGTTCTTTGTATGACCGATAAAACACAGACCTGAAATAAAGTTTTATAAAGAATCTTGAGTACTGAAACCAGCACTGCTTTTTCAAGTTGTGTAATCTCAACTGCACCAGAACCACACGCAAGTCTCACAAGACCATATAACCAAAGTTACCAATAATGATGCACAAAGCAAGAAAGAATGCTTTGGTCCCAAGCATCAACTTGCTGTTGATAAACCAGACCTCTCCAGGGGTTACTGATTAATGCAGAACCCTACAATGACTTCTATAATCTTTTCTCAGGTGGTGCCAAGCTGCCTACAAGTATGTGCTGGCCCCTGGGACCTCAGCATGCCCTATATACCTTTAAAAAAAGCCCCTGTTATTCCTATAAGATCAGTGGTTTTCAACCTATCATTTGCAGGCCTAAAAAATTTTAAATGAAGGTATGGGCACCTCTGAATTGTAACTGTGGGTATTCACATACTTTTGATTGATCACAGTCATCTTTCACGGACCCCTTAGTCTGCAGACCCTGAGGGGTCTGCGGATCACACGTTGAAAACCTACTGCAACAGATCACAACCACCTTGATAACAAGTCCAAGTGCATCTCTTTTCTTGCCTTTTTACTCACAAGTGGCAAGGGCATGGGCTATGCCTTTATTTATAATATTTCAGAGACACCAAGCACACAAGTGCTACTGTAACAAGTGTACGCTCCCAATCTTATC